TTAATTTGAATTTTGGAATTCTGACTTCAGATTCCTAATCAGCGACGCTAAAAATCCCTGAATACTAATTATTAATTGAATCAAAACGAATTTTGAAAAAAGTCCGCCATATTGGATCCGCAATTTTGAATTTTGAAAAACCAACATCGAGTTCGTAATCAGCGACCCCAAATACCCCCAAGTACCAATTTTTAAGCAAATTCAAGTAATTTTTCAAAAAAAGTCCGCCATATTAAATCCGCCATTTTGAATTTTGAAAAATAACATCGAATTCGTAAACAGCGACCCCGATAACCCCCAAATGGGAAGTTTAAAGCAAATTCGTACGGTGGTATCGCTGGGGCTAGAAAATGGTATATAAAATGAATGGATGACGCGTAAACGCTTCACGGGGTGCCTGAACGAACTTTAAATGGTCAGTTTTTTTACTTCGGATTTTTTTCTTGCATTCGATTCAGGAACTTAAACATATTGTGTAAAATAATTTTTAGCGAAATCAGGGCTTGGATTGTGCGACTTTTTCGACTTTTTTCCAGATTTTGTTTGAATAAAATGCGACTAATGCGACTTTTTTTAGATTTTTCAATTACTTTTTAACTTAAATTTTAAATAGCAAACATAGTTTTTTGTAAATTATCTATTAAATGAATTTTCTATTTTATCACAAGATTAATAGTAGTTTTCTTTATTCATTGTTTCTGTTTTATCGACATGTTTTATTGCATCATCTATTTTATTTACTTCACAAGTCTTTCATTTCAAGTCACATCACAGTTTTTAGAACAACCTTCGATTATTTTTTTGTATATGTATATATATTATTTTGATATACTAAAAGTGTAATATGGATTTGGAAAAGAATTATGAAAAATAAGTGATCTTGATCTTAAAACTCGGTAAGTAAATTTTATTTTTAAAACCTAACCTCATTTACATTTACGTTATTGGCGATTAGACATTTAAATAACTTATGTATTTAAAATCACAGAGCATATAAAATTACTTTTATTATTTTTATGAGTATAAAAAGTTCATATATTAGTAAGAAGTTTCATATTTACAAAAAATATTTATAAATAAATAAATATATATTATATATGTAATTATACCTATACTATTTATTTTTACAGCTACCTTACAAAATTCGAAATGGCTCATAAATACGAATTTCAAAGTAGGTGGCTAAATGAAGAATATTGTTTAGGATTTAAAATTTCAACTTGGTGCAAGAAAGATGACAACTATAAAGTAAAGTGTCTTATTTGTGATAATAAATCATTTTCACATTCTGCGAAAGGATTACGTGACCTCAAACAACATTATGAATCAACAATTCATCGCAAAAATGCAGAAATTAAATTGGATAAAAATCAATTGAAGTTTTCGTCGCCTGATCCTTCAATAGAAAGTACTGAAAATTTAAAACAATGCGAATGATTTATGTACTAAAGCTGAATTGACTTGGCAATTAAAAATGTCCACTGCGATATGTCCGCCGCTTAATGTGATAATTTACAGTCTCTTTTTAAAAACATGTTCCCGGATTCTCAAGTTGCATCTGATTTTTCAATTTCAGCAAAAAAATTGTCTTACACTGGAACGCCGGTTATTAGGACACTGGATTATTTGGAAAGCTTCGGCGCTAAAACGGGGTGAGGAGAAAAGGGAAGTATCTCTGCACGCAGTAGCGCATCTATTAAAGATTCCGTTCCCCGCCTTGATTTAATGTATTATTTTGCAATTATTTATTGGTGTTATATAAATATGATAAAAATTAATAAGCTGTGTGAGAATTTTGCTAAGTAAAATTTGTTTTATTTCTAAAAAACAATTAATATTTCTCAATTAATTAATATTTTCTTTTCTTATGTCTCATGCGCCCAACCTCATAATTGTTGTTCAACTCTCAAACTTTGGTTATACAATTTCATTCGAAGAAACGACGAACTCGAAGAGTAAAAAGGAATTACAAGTGCATATCAAGTATTTTTCGGAAATGCGTGATGAAGTCGTTGACAGTCATCTTGAAACTTGCTTTTTGGGAAAAGCAACAGGAAAAATTTTAGCCGATAATTTAATAATTATTTTAAACAATTCGAATCTTAGCTTGAAAAAATTAATTATGCTTGCATCAGATGGTCCATATGTCAATAAAACTGTTTGGCAGATAATAAACTCCAAGGTTTTAGATATTCGTCAAAAGGGACTTCTTAATATTGGTACCTGTAACTTGCATATTTTCCATAATGCATTTGTTCAATCTCTTAAAATATTCGGTTCAGAGGTCAGTAACTTTGCGGTAGATGTATATAATTTTTTTCATCTGTGGCCATCTCGTTGGGAAAGTTAAGAACTGATCCAAGAAAAATTAAAACTTCCAGAACACAAATTTTTGGAACAGTCTTTAACTTGGTGGCTATCATTAAAAGATTGTTGTTTGCGTATTCTCGAACAATGGCCTGGATTGAAGGAATATTTTTTAAATTTTCTAGCTAAAGATTCAGCTAGTAAAAACCTTTTACTACCAAGAAAGTACGCGTCAATATGCAGTTATTTGAAAAGAATTGATATTTTGGCCAAAATGCATTTCGTCGTTTCAAGTGCTATTTTATTTGAACAATTTTCTTTGGAATTTCAAAAAAATGAACCCTTGATTCATGTTTTATATGACAAGATTGAATTCCTCGTTGTGACTTTGGCGGGACGTATCATTGAACCCGAAAGCATAAAAAAATTCAAAAATAACGAACTTGAAACAAAAGAACTTTTCAGTGCAAATCATTTGATGAGTGTCGAACGGATAACACTCGATAATAATGTTGCCAATCAAATGAAAAAGTTTACTGAACTTGAAAAATTACAATTTTTAAAAGGCGTTCGCGATCATTATAAAGAGGGAGGATTGCACATTTTGAAAAAATCTCATTTACAAGCGTACCCCCATTCCGATTTTTTGTACGCCTGCAGGTGCTTGCAACCACAACGCATTCGCCATGAAAAAAGTCTCCAAGATATATTAAAAGTCGCAGACCATTTGCCCATTCCAAAGATTTCCGAATTGTTGTTTTCGGATGAGTGGAGAATTCTGCAGTTGGAAGAATTACCTGCTTTGGAAAAAGAAGAACGTATTGATCACTATTGTCAAAAAAATGTGTTTCAAACGAAAAATTCGAATGGCGATCCAAAGTATCCTCTAATTAGTAAGGTTATTAAATTGACCTTAACTATATCACATGGAAATGCAGATGTCGAAAGAGGTTTTTCGAAATCAAAAATTATTTTGACGGATGATAAGACTTCCATGAAAGAAAGAATACTTAATGCTCGCCTGACAGTCTACGAAGCTACGAAACAATTTAAAGGAAACGTTCATCTCATTCCCATAACGAAAGAATTAATTTCAAAAGGTAGAAATGCTAATAAGTCATACGTTACGTACTTGGAAAATGAGAAACGAAAACAGGAAGAAAAAGCTAAATTAGAAGAAGAAGATCGAAAACGTCTTGAAGAGGAAAAAGAAAATTTGAAGAAATTAGATCGCATGAAAAAAGACATTAAAGGATTAGAGGAAAATTTAAAAAAAATTTAAAAAGAAAAGGATGCTAAGAAAGAAAGTTCGGATGTGCTTATGATGAAAGCTAGTTCTGAGTTGAAAGAAGCACTTAAAAAACAAGATTTTAACGCCATACACGTCGCACAGGCAATGATGGAAGCAGCGGAGAAAAAAAGGGAAGAAGAAAGAAATCTGGACAAAGAAAGAAAGATAGTGTCGCAACAAATAGAGAGTAAAACGAAAAAAATGTTAAATCGTCTGATGGAACAGAGAAAGCAAGCAACAACATCTAAAAACGAAAAGGAAAAATCTGCGTCGCGAAAGAGAAAAAGCCCAGTTAGAGGTGAAACTATTTCTGCTAAGAAATTGAAGACGAAAGATTTAGAAGATGTAACAAAAGCTTCAAAGCCTGCGAAAAATAAGAAAAACGAAAATTCAACTAAATTGACTACAGTTGAATCTTTCAATTTATTGTTTTAAAAAAATACTACAGCAAATGCTGTTTTACCTTCAGTTATTCTTTCAGATGTAGTTTTCACTCATGTTGTCAAAGTAGTTAAAAAAACAAAAAACGTAACTACTTCAGAACTTTTATAAATATTAGTTAATTAATCAATTAATTAATTAAAACCAAATATTGTTTTAACAAAGTCACGTATGTGTTCTCGTGCAATTATTTATACTGCCAGTATTAAACCGATTATTTTAAATTCATATAAGTATTTTGTTACATTAAAAAATAATTATTAGAATAAATATTGTTTTTGTGACTCATTGCAAATCAAAAAAAGTACGTTCTATTGGCAATTATTCGTTCAAGAGTCGATTTTATTAATGTTGACAATAGAAAAACGAAAAAATAATTTAATTTTATCTTCCATAAAGATTTAATTTATTAAAATTAATGTATGTGTTTTAATGTGATTATTTATATTGTCAGTTTTAAACCGATAATTCTATGCGTTAAAAAATAATTGCGATTAAATAGTATATTATGCATCTAGGGTGGAACATCGTGCTCGGCACATAATACGGCCACCTGTTTTTCATACGATATTTTATACTATATATGTGCGAAAACCGAGGTTTTCGTAAAATACTGATAAAGAAACATAGGTAAAATGGTAATCGATGTTTGGAAGAGGCGAAGTCCCTGCAAGACGTAAAAGAAGTTAAAAGATTAATAATTTTTGAAAAATTATTGAAGTAAATAAGTAATTATCTTAAGTTTTTTAATTTTAAAAAAATTAGTTTTTAAATATTTATTTTGTTTAATAATGAAAATAAAGTGAATAATAAAAATAATTCAGATGATTATTAGTTATTATGATAATTTATTGTAATAATAAAAAATTTTGAGCATTATTATTTTTATTGAAGAAAATATAAAATCATATTTGTAGAATATTATAATGCTTTTCGTTGTTCCCGTTATAGGTTTATCAAGGTTTTACAATATAATGAATTGTAACATTAGAGCAGTTTGAAAAATGGAACACTTTGTTTTCGGAGTTCAGATTATTGTCTTTCAATGGAGACGTTCCTGAACTCGAAGAATCCGTTTTCTTGGGACGTTTATGCGTTGATAGTTCTGATTCCAGATTTTCATTTGTCTCGGATTGTAGATTTATTGAAGATCCTATGATGTCCCCAATTTGTTTCTTATTGGCGAATGATTGAGCAATATATCTCTCAGCTACAGTGTTGGGCTTCCAACCTCCGTGCCTCTTCAGTGTTTTGATATTTGCTCCGCCGTCAACAAGCACTGTTGCTGAAGTACGTCGGAAAGAATGTCCAGTATATTTCTCAGCATCGGGCAAATGAAGAAACGATGCGATGTCCTTAGGCATTCGCGAAAATTTGTTTTTTCCTATGACTTGGGATGTACATTTGCCATTTTGATAGTTTAGGAAGAAGCGATTCGTGTTTGTGCTTTGCGGACGAAGCGCCTGATATTCTTTAACAGGTTTCACGTAAGCTTCAGGAATGACAAATGATCGTGGTTGTAGCGTTTTAGTCTTCGGTACTTGAACTTGGAGTAGACTACCTTGTTCCTTAATGTGGTCAATTTCAACATTTGTCAGTTCATCGCGGAGCCTCGGTGGGGGGTTCCGGGTGCGAAGCCCCCTGAAAAAAAATCATACACCAATTCAAAAGAATAAATAAATGAATTTAATTTAACACTTAGTATTACAATTTCGAAATTTGAATTTTCATGTAAATTTAGTGGTACAGAAGGGAAAACAACGGGCAAGAAGCGCCCGAAACCAAAATTGTGATAAAAATTTTTTTTATTTAAAACTTACTTTGACACTTAGTATTCCAATTTTGAATTTTGACATTTAATGGAAATTTACCACCTCACAAGGGGACGCAACGGGGGCCAAGCCCCCGAAACAAAAATTAAAATAAAAAATTTTTTAATTTATAATTAATATTTAAAAATGATTTAAAAAATACAAAAATTGTGTATTAAGAAAAATGATTAAATTGATTTAATAATTAGAAAAATTATCATTTTTGAAAGTCAAAAAATTTTGTTAAAACAAGTCTATCAGAAAAATAAATTTTCAAAACTTATTCCAAATTTTAACTAATTTCGAAATTAATAAAAATTAACCAATAATTTTTAATTATTCTAAATTTCCGTCAAATATAAATTTAATTTTTTTAATTATTTAATATTTTTCATTTATTTATGAAAATTGAATTTTGAGTTAATTATTTTCAGAGATTTTTTAAGTTTAAGAGCTTAGCATTTTCCTAATTTAAAGTAATTTTAACCTTTTATTTTGTTAATTTTTAGGAATATAGCGTAGTGTAATTTTTAAAAAATTAACATTAAACGTTTTTGATGATTTCAATTTTATAATGTTTCTAAAAAAATGGATTAAAATAATTGTTTCATGGAACTTCAAAAGATGTTAAGAATAAAATTTTTTTTTTTAAATTTTGTTTATTTGAATTATTGAAAAATTAATTTTCGTAGAATATTTATAAAATTTGGAATGATTTATATTTAAAAATTAAGGTCCTATAAATTTAAACGAAGTAGAATATTTATATGAGTAGTTGATAGAAAAAATTTTTTTAGTGAAATTTTTTATTTAAATACTTCAAAAAAGTAAAGTTATAAAAAAGTAGAAAAAAGTCAGGGAATATTTTTGATATTTTGCTTGACACTTTAATTAAAAATTACTTTAACATAAGGAAAAATATAAAATTGATTTCTACTAAAAATTGATCGGACATAAGAAAAATATATTTTAGAATTACTTACTTTTGCTGCGAGGTATTTAATATCTGGGGCAGTTGTTAAAAACGTGTTCAGTTCTTCTGTTGTCAAAACGTAAGCTTGTTTGTTGATATGTCCTCGAGAATGGGAATGCATGAAAGCAGACAATGCTTTGTATTTGTCAATATCAACTTTTTCTTTGATCTTAATGGTGCTTTTTAGTTTTGAATGTAGAGACCACAAAGTCGTCGATTTATATTTTTTTGATAATTCGTCGAAATATACGAGGAGAGTCGATTCTGATGTCGCATTTACGTTTCTCGATTTTTTCCATTCTGAATATGCGTTGTACGCAGATTCATAGATTGCTTTCGATTTTGTAGGTAATAAACCTGCAACGACACTTCCAGCAATTTTTCGAATATCTGGTGGTGTACACTGTTCGTTTTCACTGTCAGAACTCATTTTTGCAAATTAATTTAGACTTTATATATAAGTAATAATTGCAAATACGTTTAACTACCGTAATAGCTCGACGGAACGAAATACGCACTTGACGTGACGGATTGGTTGATTGTAACTGTGTTTGTTGTTCTATGCTCATTAGAAAAACATCAGTTCTGATCACATGACTAGAGACTCTGTCTGATTTGGACCAATAGGATAGCGTCTTTATTTATTTGAAGCGTTTATTTTTCGAGGGAAATAAACGTTATTCCCAAGGGAATAAACTCACAGCTGCGCAGAAGTTTATTCCCTTGGGAATAACGTTTATCTCCCTTTCAAGTCGTACTGTTGTGAAAACTTGAAGTTACCTCTCGCTTAGGACGGACATAAACCCGATGTTTTCGCGCATGTATAGTATAAAATTATTTTTGTGTTTCATCACAAAATAAAAAACTACGTTCCATCGTCAATTGTTTGTTCGACTGTCGAGTTTATTTGCGTTTCTGAAGAAGTTAGAAAATAAAAAAAAACTTATTAACATTATCTTCCATAAAGATTTTATTTGTTAAAACTAGAATGATTATTTTAACAAATTAACCTATATGTCATAGAGAACTGTGATTATTTATACTGACAGTATTAAACCAACTATTCTATATTTCTTGAAGTATACTTTAATTTTTTCGTTTCTTTTTTAATAATTCTCACGGAATCCACGAGGATTTTGTACTTTATTTTTTTCGTCTGTTATTAAAAATCTTCACATATTCCACGGGGATTTTGTACTCTAATTTTTTTGTCTGTATTTCAAAAATCCGCAAGGAATTCCTCGAGGATTTTGAACTTTGAATTAATTTCCCTGCACCTATAAATTCACGAGGATTTTTATCTTAAAAATGTCTTATCTGTGTTTCACTGTCGTCAAAAAAATCCATAATGATTTTAACTTAAAGTTAAATATTTTTATTTCCTGATCGTTGAAAATATCCACGAGGACTTTTCAGTAAATATTTTTTGTCGGCATTTAATTACAAATTTCCTCGAGGTTTTCGAACATTGAAATTCAATTTTTTCTCTTTGTACAAATCCTCGTGGATTCCTTGCGGATTTTTGAAATACAGACAAAAAAATTGTAGTACAAAATCGACGCGAAATCTGTGATTATTTTTAATAACAGACGAAAAAAATAAAGTACAAAATCTTCGTGGATTCCTTGCGGATTTTTGAAATACAGACAAAAAATTAGAGTACAAAATCCTCGTGGATTCCGTGGGAATTATTAAAAAAGAAACGAAAAATTAAAGTACAAAATCCTCGTGGATTCCTTGCGAATTTTTAAAATACAGACAAAAAAATTAGAGTACAAAATCCTCGTGGAAATCCTCAAGGAATTCCGTCCAAATTTGACAGGAGGAAATCCTCGAGGATTTCAACGGGGATATTTTTGATGGGGTATGCCTCTTTTTGTAATTTTTTTCTAAAATTTCATGCGACTTTTTCTGAAATTCCATGCGACTTTTTGAGACTTTTTTTGTAAATTTATGAGACTAAAGCGACTTTTTTTGAGTCTTAAAGTCGATCTGAGCCTATCTACCCTACCGATGTTGCGGTAATTTACGTACATAATAAACAAAAGAAAAATATAAAATTTGATGTATAACATTGTCTGTGAACAAAATGTTAATTTTTAATATCTTATTATATGTAAACATTAGTTTTTATTCTATTTAAAGAATAAAATCTGTAATTGGAAAACCGGGGTAAATCCGAACGGTATTTTCAATAATTTTTTTTACATCAGAGCCACACAAAATTGTTTTTATTTCATTACACTATTATTTTAACATTATAAAAGTACATAGAAAAAAGTTTTTCTTTCTATACGTATCCTCGTTAGTAATTAATAAGCAGAAACTTAATCTCTGTTCTCTCGAAGGAGTGTTTCAATTTTTTTGCCAAATGGTTTGTTGAAAAAAGTTTTTCAGGATCTTAATAAAATTTGGTATTCTACGGTTTTTGGGGTCGCTAATTACCAATTTGAAGTCAGTTTTTCAAAATTCAAAATGGCGGACGAGAATTAAAAAATTCATTGGATTCGCTCGAAAATTGTTACTCGGGGGGTTTCAGGGTTAGCAAATTTGATCATTTTTAAAAATAAGTTTTAGGAAAGTCCGCCATTTTGAATTTAAAAAATTTCACTTTTATTGTTGTATTTACATTCAATCACTCCAAAATACTTTCTGTAGCAAGTTTTGCAAAAATCCGTTATGATTTGATAAAGTTATTGAAGGTTTTAATTGTGTAATGCATTTTAATTTTTAACCTGTTTGATTTTTGTATTTATATATGATGCATTATTACATAATAGATTTATTATCGTATTTTTTTTGAGTTTTTATATAAGTTTAACAATTGCAATACTTTAAATTTATTTTCCCTAAGATTTTTCTGAAATACAGTGGCGTTCGTATTTACCCCGGTATTTTAGGAAAGTTGCAAAGTATCGAGGTAAATACGAACGCAAAGTTTCCTGCGATTGTAATTTATCAAAAATTTTTGCTACCCCATAAAATTGTTCTATGGAAGTAAAGTAACAACTTCATGCACCAGAATACCGGAAGTATTTTTTTTTTAAAGAAAAAACTTATGTTATTGTTGAAACTTACTAAAAGCGTTCGGATTTACCCCGGTTGACCCTACCTGAATTAATTACAATTTTATTATTTAAGAAAAAAATAATATAATAGTTACATGAACACAGATTTCTAGCACTTTTTTGTCTAGTTATTAGACATGTACTGCAGCGCTGCTGCCACGAAAGTATAATTTCTAGAGACACTAGACAGTGCCATTCAAGCAACTGGACAAAAGTTGAATCTAGCCAATTTCAAGTTCAACTTGAATGTTTTCTAAGACTGTTGGTCAAGTAACTTAACAGTAATTGTCTAGTTTGTCTAGAATCAGCGTCCACGAGAAAAACTGGCCTGTTACTAGAGTATTTCTAGTGCTTCCATGACAAATTTCTACTAGGGAAACAGCTTTTCAGATGTTCATTATTACAAAGATCGTATTATCGTATATATTTTTATGAACATTAATGATATCAATAAATGATTTTGTCAATTTAAGTAGCTTTAAATGATTAATTGTGTTAATGAATAAAAATTATAAAATTTTTTCATTTATACAACACAATAATGGTATATGAATTTTAATACCTAATTTTATATTTGGAGTTTATTAACTTCGACATTTTAATTCAGAATGACATGGACATGAACTTAAATTTCAATCAAGTGAACTCTACATACATTCCAATTTTTTCGAAAATAAATTAAGTAAGAATGTTGATATAGCAATTTTTTTAACAAATTAATTTATATAATGCTAATACTTCAGGGATTAGTACCACATCTTTTTTCAAAAAAATTGGCTTTCTATAAACTGCAAATTCTTGTAGTATAGATATATGTAGAAATGCTGTGGAAACTATTATTTTGTTTGGAAACTTCGGTGACATCGAAAAACGGGGTAAAATGTAAAAGTCACGCTCTCATGGAACGTACTCTTCGCTAGTACAATGTATGCTTTTATAAATATATCCTACCTATATAAATATAAATATATATCAAATTACACTTATATGTATATAAATATGTATATAAAAGCATGTATACATGTATATAATGTATCCTATCGTGTAAGGGGGTATTTTCTTGTAAAAGGACATGTATTCGTAAATTCGCTTTTTCTCAAAGCAATATACCGCTATCGTCGGAACTAGAATAATAATTTTTCATTAATATTTAACCATTTTTTAAAACAATTTAAATTGAAAAAACAAGATCAAAAATGAAAAAAGACTGCCATTTTGTTTTTTTTCATCGAAAATAGTTGATTGTAATTTCGACGATAGCGACGAGCTTACTTTTCAAGAAAATATAAAAAATTTTATTTTTTCATGACCTGAATTGGAGATATCGTGTCCGCCAATCAATAAGGAAAAAAATTTTTTTTTAATAGTTTAAAACCCCTTCTTTTATGTATAAAAAGTTTGAAGTAAATAAAATAAAGTTTGTAATAAAAAAAAATGTTTACGAAAAGTCACTGAGATGTGGTACTAACCCCTTAATCAGCACTCACTTTTTTACCAGAATTTTCTTAAATATATGGAAATCACTGTTAACTTAAAAGTATCAAATTGCAACGAATTGATACCCAAAATGTGGATGAAATAAAAAAGATTGATATAAATTTCGGTATAAATTTGATACTTTTATAAAAACGGTGATAATGTGATCTAAAATAAATTAATACAAAACTGCAATTAAAATTTTTTTTTAAAACAAAGAAAATCAGTTATATTAACATTAGTATCAAGTTTTTAAAAGTTCCAAAAAAAAGTTATCAACCCAAGTAGCACGTAATATTACAGTAATATTATCTGGTAATATTGCAAAAAATTTCAAAAAACACATAAAAATATTTGACTAATGAATTCTTATCTTACAGTAATATAAACCGGTAATACTACAATGAGGCGGACATTTTAATATTACAAAAAATATTACGTGCTACTTAGGAAGCTACAAAAATTTACGAAATTTCGGAATTTGATTATTTTTAAACACTATAATATTTTAGTACTATATTAATTAATTTGGTATAATTGTTGAAAATCAAGTAATTTATGTTTTGATCAAATTTTAATATTCAATATTAAATTATTTGTAAATAATGTTTTAAATAAGTGTAAATTTTTAAGTTTGACTGAACAAACTGTAAGTTTTCTTTCTATTTGCGAATTCTAAAATTTTTACTTTTTTCCCTTCACTTTTAGTAAACTTTTTAAGAAATTATGACTTTCTTGTTTTCACAATGAGAAAGAGCGTTTCAAACTCTATCTGAATGGGTAAAAAATTGAAAAATAATTTGTTTGACACCTTTAAGCCCCCTTTTCATAGACCAGGTCTCTTATATTGAATAATATTATTAAAATTCTATGTTATAAAATATTTAAGTACAAAAATAATTTGCTATAGTAGCAGCTAAAAATTGACAGACCTATAGTGTCAGTCATTATTAATAAAAGAGAAATTCAAATAGTTAT